GCCTGCCCTGGGGCGCGGAGAAGCCCCCGCAGGCAGAGGGGCCTGGGTGCCCGTCCCCGCGGCGTGCCGGTGCCAGCGCTGGGGTGCCTTTTGCCCTAGAAACCGGAAAAAATAATCGAGCACCGTGCCCCCTAAGCCAGGCACACACGAAATCTCCCACGGAGACGTGGGGTAAGTGAAGCGATCCCTGGCGGGCCACTCTTATCGCCAGGCGGATCAGCAACTATGTTACAAAATGCTTTGTCAAGCCAAGCTGGTTTTTTTTTCAAGATTTCGACAGCTTAAGGCAACTCCGTATTATTGCCTGGGAGTTTACACCAGGTGTGAATCTTGGTTTCACCTCACAAGGCACGTAAGGTATATAATTAAGGGACACACGTTAGCCCATGCCTTTTGTTATAGAAAAAGCAGAGTTTGTACGCTTTTAGCTGAGAATCAGAATAAATTAGAGACGTCTTTACAATGTGCTGTAACTTAAGGACTATTTTACATATATATATTTATATATAATGCTATATATTATAAAGGGACTGAGTGGGCATCATAAGACTCTCCTAAATACCTTTATACCACCCAAAATGAACAGCTATAAGCAAAACCAAGGACGCTTCTAGGAAAAAGCTGAAGAGAATGTTTAGATTTTTAATGCATATGCAAAAATTCTTTTAATACATTGAGAAGAAAGACCTAATTACAACCTCTGTAATATTATTTAAAAAATACTACAAACCATATTATGACCTGCATGCTGAGAGCAGAGGGAAATGTTAATGTAGAAAGAAAAACTTCTTGTAGGATGGCATATGATCACGTCATAAAAATATTTTGATTGTAAGAGAAAATAGTACTTCTTTGAATTGGCTTTGATCTGTATTTGACAAGTGGACTGAAATGCCAAATTGCACCTACTTCTAAACCAGCTGGGTTGGAGAAGAACCTGTCTATGCTGCTAAAGCTGAGATTTCTGGGCAGACTCTCAGGTCAAACCTCTTGGAAATGGAGAACTGCCAAGTGCAACCCCCTGCTCCCTGAGCCCAGCATCCAGGGTTCCTCTTTGGACTCCTGGCTACTGACACATACAGTCTGCGGGTGTATCCTCGCAATTTCTTAGGAGCTATAGGCCTTTCCAAAATAACTATCACAAAACCATTTCTCTAATCTTATCTTTCACAAGAATCTGATGTCTTATTTTTATTGCAAGGCTTCGGAAAATCCTTTCTTTCTTCTCTCTCTGTAGAAGTTATCTCTTGCCCTGTGTGACGACTGGCATCCTGCTAAGAAAGCAGTCATTCTCATGAATGAAATTTATCCATGTCAAGGCTCTTCACGTACTTCAGTAGTAAACCCAACAGCAGTCCCTGCATAGAGGAGCTGTCGGGCAGACTGTCCGGCAGCTGGACTGCCCCAGCAGCTGAGGACACAAGAGTTGCCAGACACCAAAATCCAGTGTTTGATTCTTCGAGCAAATGATTCATTAGGCTGCTGAAGCTGAGTAGCCTGGGAAACTAATTAACAAATTAGTGTTAACATTCTGTGTAGAAACAGTCTTGAGAATTGTCATCATTATTCCTTCTGTGGAATGTCAGAAACTAGTATTTCGGGTAGTAGGCAGTCCGCATATCCCAGAACTTACAGAGAAATTTTGAAACTTGCATCTCTTCTATCAGAAAATTGTCCAGAGTCAGGGTTTTGGTGATGTTTTGTTTTCAATGAATCAGCATTTTTAGGTGAAAAGAAAAATCATCTGTTATTTCTCAGCCATTTCCTCTGTCACTGTTCCCAGTGACTGACATGAAAGAGACACCAGATGAAAGAAATGCATCAAATACTAATAATTTTTATTTTATTAGATATAGCTAAGTGCACTACTTTTTTTTTTTTTTTTTTTTTTTTTTTTTTTTTTTTTTCTTTTTTTCCCTGAAAAGAATACAAATTATTGATGGATGAATCCCAGAAAATGTGGTTCAAGTTCTTTTTGCTTAAACATAGCACAACTCAGTCCCCTGTTATAGCAGATGTAGAGGGGAAAAAAAAGAACAGGAATGGAACTAAAAGAGCTGCTGATATATAGATATATATACGATGGAGACTGATACTCTTACGCAGAAAAGGATGGATAGAGTTATGAAGGAACCAAGGAGTCTTATAAATATTTACAGTCAGTGTAGATTTGATGCCATTTCCAAGAATGACCTGTCAAATTCAAGGGAAAGAAGAAAAAGAGAGATTTCATGGAGGTATCCATGAGGCACAGAAAGACCGCACATAAATGGGGGAAAAGGATGAAGTCCAAACTCGGAGAGA